AATATATAAAATAAGTTAAATATACGATAAAACATTTGGTAATAATAATAATATAAATTTAATTTAAATTAAATTATTATATTTTTTTTATAATTATAATTTTAATTTCATTAATAAAATTATTATATTAATTTAAATATATTTAATTTATTTATTAATAATAATTTATATATTAAATTTAAAATTAATATATTAAATAATTAAATACGTTTAAATTATATATATTTTTATTTTAAAAATTATATAAAATAATTTATATATTTAATATTTAATTATTTATTAAATTAATTAAGTTTAAATTTATTTAATTTTATAAAATTTTATATTAATTCGTTTTAATTCGGGGTTAATAAAACGTAAATTTTATATATAAATTAAAATAAATTATTTTAAAATTTTAATTTAATATATTAATTTAATTTTTTTTAATTATAATTTTTATACTCGTAAAATTAAAAATATTAATTAAATAATTAATAAATTAAAAAATTTTACGTAAATTATATAATAATTTATTTTATATTTAATTAATTTAATTAATAATTAAATTATTATAATAAAAAATTTATAAAAAAATAAAAGAAATAATTTTACCGTAAAATTAATAAAATTTTTATTAAATATTTTTTTTAATTTATTTTAATATATAATATATTAAACGATTTAAAATAAAAATATAATATAAAAAAAAAATATTATTATTTTCGTTATAATTTAATATTACGAAATTAAAAAAATTTATTAATAATAATAATTTTAATATTAAAAATAATTAATATAATAATAATAATATATTTATTTTTATTATAAATAAGTTATTATTTTATATAATTATATAAAATATAAACGTATTTATTTTAAAAATAAATTATAATAAAATATTAATTAATATTTTAATTTTACTTTCGTTTTTCGTTTATATAAAACTTATTATTATAATATTAATTTTAAACGAAAAAAAAAAATTTAATTTAAAACGATTAATTTAATAAAATTATTTTAATATTATTAAATATTAATAAAAAAAATTAATAAATTAATTTTTAAAATTAAAATTATTTATTTAATTTATTAATTTTATATAATAAATTTAATAAATTTAAAAATATTATATAAAACGGAAAAAATAATAACGTTATAATAATAAAAATAAAAAACGTTTTAACTTTAAAAAATTTATAAAATTTTTTTTTTTTAATATATAATTAATAAAATTTTAATTAAAATTTTATTTAATATAATATATTAATAAATTTATTTAAAAAAATTATTTATTTTTATTAAATATTAATATAAATTATAATATTATAAATAATTTTTAAAAAAAAATTTTTTTATTAATTATAAATATTATTTTTTTATATTAAAATAAAAAAATATAAAATATAAATATAATATAAATTAAAAATAATTTTTTATTATATAAATTTTTTTTTTTAAATTTTAAAATTAATTAATTTAAATATAAAATAATAAAACTTTAAAAAATTATAAAAAAAATATTAAATAAAAAAAATAATATAAACGTTTAAATAATTATAATTTAATTTTATAATTTATTTTTAAATTATTTAAATTAATATAATATTAAAAATAATAAATATTTAAATATATATTTATAATTAATTTAAAATAAAGTTTTTTAAATTTTATTATTAAAAATTAAATATTTCGGATAAAATTTTATTTTTTAACGAATTAAAAATAAATTAAAAATAAATTAAAAATAAATTAAAAATAAATTAAAAATAAATTAATAATAAATTAATAATAAATAAATAATAAATTAAAAATAAATAAAAAATAAATCAAAAATAAATTAATAACGGATTAAAAATAAATTAATAACATTTAAATAATTACGTAAGAAAATTAAATTTTGCAAAAACGTTTTGATGCTTTGGCGGTTTCAAGCATATGGCCCGCCGTCGCTATACTATACCTAGCACTCACCCATTAGTTAAAGTTGTCTTTCGGGGAAAGTCTGGTCTCGTCGTTGACTCTCTTATCTCCATTCGATTATATTCCTAGAGTCCTGCATACATACATACATACATACATACATACATACATACATACATACATACCCACCTGCTTGCCTACCTACGGTTACGGTATACGACACCTATTCAACTAGCAGCCATGCCATCTACGAATGACGGAAGTGCGGGGAATAGATCAATGTCGCGCCAAGTTTCCATACATATTGAAAGTAAACGAAACGATAAGCATTTAGGTCATATATAATGAGGGTAAGCTATAAGGTGCGAAGCTGCTGAAACTTCTACCTCAATGGTGTGCGCTCTGTGCTTCCTCTGGAATGTTGTCGATTAGTTTCCAGGCCATCTCTGGCCTTTCTTTATTAATCTCAGCTATCCAAGCCCAATTTCCCCCGACACCAGAAGGTGTCACTGTCCTTAAATCTAGATTCGGCAATGGTGTCACGATCAGTTATAAAGAGGTGAGAGAATGCTAATCTATATGTACATACTTATTTATACTTGCATGCATGACATGATGACGGGAGCTTCATTCATCATATCTAACATTTGCTAAGCCGGGTATCTGTGAGACGACGCCGGGCGTCAAATCTTATGCTGGCTACGTCCATCTTCCACCCGATTCACTCAAGGACTTGGGGGAGGAGCAAGACTACCCTATCAATACCTTCTTCTGGTTCTTCGAGGCCCGGAACGACCCCGAGGATGCACCGTTGTCAATATGGCTGAATGGTGGCCCTGGAAGTAGCTCGCTGTACGGGCTCTTCACCGAGAACGGCCCCTGCTACGTCAATTCCGACTCCAACTCAACCACGCTGAGTCCGTGGGCCTGGAATACGGATGGTAAGCTGAAAGGAGAAGCTCCCTTAATATGTTAGCTACTGTTAGAACTACTATCTTACTAGCCCACCACAGTCAACATGTTATTTCTCGACCAGCCTACTCAGGTAGGCTTTTCGTACGACACACTACAAAATATCACCGAGGATCTCATCTCCGGACAGATCGTCAGGCTCAACGGGTCTGACTCTATCCCCGAGCAAAATACAACCCTCTTGGTCGGCACATACCCAAGTCAGGATAGGAATCATACGGCCAGGGGCACTCGTAATGCCGCCATTGCCTTGTGGCACTTTGCACAGACTTGGTTCCAAGAGTTCCCCGGTTACCATCCCAATGATTCCAGGATTAGTCTAGCTACTGAATCCTATGGCGGTAGATACGGCCCGGAGTTCACTGCCTTTTTTGAGGAGCAGAATCAGAAGATCAAGAATGGCACCTGGAATGGCACAGATGGGGAGAACTACGTCATCAATCTCGACACGCTTATCCTCATCAACTCCTGTATTGATCGCCAAATCCAGTGGCCCGCTTACCCACACATTGCCTATAATAATACGTACGGCCTAGAGACAGTCAACGAAACCGTCTATCTGCAGATGGTGGACGCCCTCGACAAACCTGGTGGGTGCCGTGACCAAATCAACGATTGCCGCGCCCTGGCACTTGTGTACGACCCTAACAACACTGGTGTTAATGATACCGTGAACAGAGTATGTTCGGACGCAGAGACATTCTGCTCTGATAATGTAAGGGGTCCGTATCTCGAGTATTCAGGCCGCAACTATTACGATTACGCATCTCTCGATCCAAACCCCTTTCCAGCCCCATTCTTTGGTCTTTATCTCAATCAACCTCATGTGCAGAGAGCAATAGGTGTCCCTATCAACTACACGCAATCTTCAAGTGCTGTAGCTTCTGCCTTTAGAGCCATAGGCGACTATCCTCGGCCGGGATGGGTCGAGGATCTCACGTTCCTGCTTGAAAACGGAATAAAAGTCCACCTCATGTATGGCGATCGAGATTATGCCTGCAACTGGATTGGCGGAGAGGCCGTCAGCTTGGCCGTCAACTACACGGGCACCGAAAAGTTCCACGCCGCGGGATACACGGACATCGTCGTAAACGACACGTACGTGGGTGGGCAAGTTCGTCAGTACGGCAACTTTTCATTCTCGCGTGTGTACGAGGCCGGGCACGAAGTCCCGGCATACCAACCCGAGACGGCGTATAAGATGTTCCACCGCGCCCTATTTAACAAGGACATCGCGACAGGCACTGTCGATCTCGTCGATAACCCCGAATACGCTACCCAGGGCCCCGCCGATACTTGGGCAATCAAGAATCAGGATCCGCCTGACTTGTTGCATTTCTGTTACGTGTACGACACCTCTACATGCACTGAGGAGCAGATCGAGAGCGTGCTCAACGGCACGGCTGTTATAATCAGCGGCATTGTCAAGGATAAGAATTCGACTCGGCTATTCCCGGAGATATTCGGCGGCCGAGATAGTCCTTCATCTACTGCGACCTCAACCTCCTCAACGACAGCGAGTGAGAGCGCCTCGGCAACGGCAAGTAATGCAGCGGCTCGTATCGTAGTGTACGATATTGATGCACGGATCCTCGAGATTTGGGTGGTGGCTTTAATATTGGTGCATGCCCTATTGATATGATCACGATGAATTGAAAAAAGGATATCTGCATTATAACTAGGTAGTTCTTAATCCCCCACCGTTCCATTCCATCTTTACCTGGATTTAGAGAAACCGTTCTATAACATCACAGCATGAATTTATTAGAACATGTTTACAACAGCGGTACATATATATATAAATATACGTTTATGCCTTCTCGGTTGATATAAATAAATTGCAATTTACTACTCATCAACTCGTATACAATGTGTTTGTTATTATAATACATATATTATCTGTTATGATACTTCGGTCGTGGGAGTCATCCACTAACATCCAAGACGAAACTAATAATCCATGACAAATGCATTACTCCTACGTACCCAGTAGTAAGTACCTAGTAAATACAGATAGTGTAGAATAGGTCTTTATGTAATGATCTAACAAGACGAGACCTCTATCGTAGCTCTTCAGCCCCACCGCACCATAGAATTGGCGCCTACACTTGCGCCGTGACTCGAATTCTCGATTCGTCTAGTGGTTAGGATACCTGCTTGTCATTCTCTCTACGACAGACCCTATGAATGGACATGTCTCTAGTATAGTCGGATTCGCAGGTGGCCGGGGTTCAATTCCCCGATCGAGAGAATTAAGTTGTTCCTTTTATTCTATTTTTGTTCTAATACAGCCCAACTCCTTCGTGAACTACTAGGTTCTTATTTACTACTCTACTTATGATGAAGATACATACATACTAGGTACTTATACATACCTACCTACCTGCCTACCTACCTAGTAAATAACTAAGCAGGAAACCACCTTAAATTATAGGGTGTAAATAATTTTTGTTATTCTATAGAATCGGCGTTGGTTGGTACGAATGTTCCATCCAGACGTGGATATGAAATGATAGGTCACATCGAATAGCGAATTTGTACTTAGTTCCCCCAACGTGTTGCATTCCATTCCAAAACGTCCACGGTTTTTCAGCCTGTATGTGGTGTCACCACTCATGCCACCGGCAGTGACTGGCATCGACAGCCATGTAGAAGATTCGTTCGGAACTACCTACTCCGAACATATCGAAGGGGATCATATTTCGCTGAAAGCTGAATAGGAAGCCACCTCGGGATATCGTTAGGCCAGATTCTACAGTTCAAGATTAATTATAATCATTAGTTCACTTATTCAATGCTGTGATGATCGCATCGATGTGAATCGCATTACAGAAGTGCTGACTACTTCATGAACGCGCTGTGTTGGTAGTAAGACATGGCTCCAATGACTCGGTTGTCAAACGTCACGGCCCTCATTATCGCCGTAATCGTTATATTAGCACCGTTCTTTTACCGCTTCACGCTCTCATATCTCCCATCACTATCCCCTCATCTCGCTTTATACTTATCATCGAACTCCAAGATCTTCAGTCAAGATATTGAACACGCGTCATCATCGTCACCGTCGTCATCGTCGTCGTCGTCTTTCAGTTGCCTTCAACACACCTACACGACTGAAATAATATCGCTCGACCCCCTACTCATCTATATCTACTCATTTCTGGCGCCTGCTGAAGTTGAGGCTTTGCTAGAAGCTGGCGAGCTCGAGTTCGCCCCGTCCCAAGTTTATAAGCGAGGTCGCAACCAGGGCACGTCGGATCGCACTTCCTCGTCGGCCGGCCTACCACGCGACAACCCGACCGTACAATGCGTATTAGAGCGGGCCGAGGGCTTCCTCGGCACGATGTTGGATCCCTCCCGGGATGACATCGGTCCGCCGCAACTAGTACGTTATACGGCCGGCCAACGCTTTAACAGGCATCGTGACTGGTACGAGCGCCCGCAACCTGTGCGGAAAGGCATGTTGGGGCGCGGGAAGAGCTGGAACCGTGTTGCTAGCTTCTTTGCCATCTTGCAGAGCCAATGCACAGGTGGCGAGACGTGGTTCCCGCTCGTCAATACTACCGTCCCCTCGAAGGCTGACGAGGAGGGTCATCGGTTCTGGACAACACATAAGGACGGGGGCTTGGCGTTTAGGCCTGTGGCCGGAAACGCGCTTTTCGTATGTGGCGTCTTATATTCTCTTCCCTCTTTCCACACTTTCTCTGAAGGGTCTGGAATCGCTTCCCGTCTTTTTTTAAATACAAAAATATGACGGCTAACCATTCGGCGCTGTAGTGGGTTAATTTATTCGCGAATGGCACGGGTGATGATCGGACTATCCACGCTGGCTTGCCGGTGGAAGAGGGTTTGAAGACAGCGATGAACATCTGGCCGCGTAAATTTTATAGCTAATATATGGGCTTGGACGAATGGGTCAGTCCCACGTTACCGATCCCGTTAAGGTAGGCAAATTGAGTCTCTAGTGCTACGGCAGAATGAATCGGCCGAGGGATTTCGTTAGGCGTGCCTAAAAGGAAGGTCGAGATATTCCATGTTATGGTGTAAAATGTACCTGTTTTTGGCTATGTAGAGCAGTCCGAGTTTACGGAGCGTACATATTTCCAGCTCGTGCGACATCACGTCTGAGCCTCGAGATGCATAACCTAAGCCTGGACGATAACATGGACGTCCGTGACGGTTGCCCGCGCCATCTTCTTTAGAAGTGTCCTCTCGTCGGCTTCGCGATATCTCTCCCAGCCGTCAAGTCCTTCCTTAGCTTGAATGCTCAATGTCTCGTAGCCCTGCTTTATCACTTCCGCTACCTCGGTGCTGGTAAGATTTCTTTTGGAGCCGCCGGACTCGAGCATAGTCTTATAATGCGCGCTCACGCTGACGAGGGTGCCTATCGAGTTTGAAGGCCGGCTGGAGAGGGCGTATGTGTCGCGGAACTTTATTAAGACCTCGCCGCTTTCTACAACCTTGTAAAACAGGTCATCATAGGCGGCCGGAGTAGGAAGAAACGCCTCTCCGGCGGAAAGAGAAAGAGCTAGAAGGTTAACAACAAGATCCAGGAGAGAATCGAAGTGCGATAGGCCTTTTAGATCGGCGGCGTAGGTTGTGAGGAAGCGGATTAGGGACAAGAGCGAGCGAAACAACTCAGACCAATGGTAATGCAATCGGGTTCGAGACCGCGATAGATACGATATGATCCGCAGCATAATACCAACGCATAGAGTATACAAACTAACATCCAACCTGCGACGTAGGTTGTGATTGATGCCGTCTATCATAGTGTCTAACACACTAGTCGCTAAGATGCGTTCCCCTCGAACAGCAGGGAGAAAAGGCTGCCGCTGACGACACAGTCTGACGGCGACCTTGCTCTCGTCGCCACATAAACGCTTACATAGAAGCTGATCTTCAATAAGCAGCCGAAAAACCATCAGACTGAGATGTGCGTAGTTGGTAGCACGAGCAGAGAGGAAAGCATGTTGGAGGAGGTAAGAGGTTAACGACAAGAAACTAGAGATGGGCTGCTCCTCGCCCTTCTCAGCTGGCAGCGAGACAAGATTAAAGCAGAAGAGCTTGTTGGCGTGGCTGAAATCGTATGTCCCCAAGAGCACAGCAGCATCCTCGCCCGGTCTAGTTGTGGGTTAGTAATAGATGGAAGGTGAAGAGAAGAATAACTAACAATTTTGCGAACATCTGTTTAGCTTCTTCTGGATCGTATGTTGGTTTCTGGGTTGATCTCGGACCTGGAGCAATGGCTCCAAGCCCAATCATGTTTAGGGTGTTTGCAATCGTCCATCCTTCAGGCAAGTCCTGTAGAATATCGACATATTGGCTTCTCAAACTTCGACAGGTGTGCCCAACACATCTAACAATCTTCTGTATAGTCGCCTCGTTGACGAAATCGTTCAACCGAAGTTGGTAGGGGTTTTGGAACTCGAATTTGTTGTAGTTGGCCAGTAGGCCCAGCAACGTAAACGGTTCCAAGACCCTATACGGCGAGTCTGATTCTTGGATAAACTAAATCGAGTCAGTCCCGCCGTTTGATCATCTGAGTACTAGCAAAGCAAACCTTCATGATGGCCGGGAAAAGATCTCGTTGTATGAAATATGTTAGGAGGCTCGTCTGATACGCGCCCGAGGTAATGGACAAAACGACCTCGACGGCCTTCTGCCTAACTTCCACTATAACGCAGCCGTTAGCCCCTTTACCAACCTCAGGAGCATATCCAGTTATCTAAGTATCCCGGGGTTTTCTGTTTCTTTTCTTTAGGTGGGAGGGGGGTTTCTTAAAAAAAAGAAAAAACGGCTACTTACTTGATTTGCCATTGCGGATAATCCCGTCTAAGGCGCTTACAAAATCGGTGAAGACAGCATCAACCTGATCCAGCCCTGCTAGGACAGCTATTATATCCGAGCTTGGGTTCGTGTATTTCTTAGGGAGGACGGCAGAGAAGAAAGTTGTTAAGGTCTTTATATGAAGAAACAATCCGGTTAGAAAGATGTTCCTTATATAGCATATCTAGAACTAGATCTTGGTTTTTACCTCGAGGGCGTGCAAGTCGGCCACGACATTGCCCTTCTTCAGGCATTCTACGGCGCGAAAAAAGAGTTGTTGAGTTTGCAACTGCAGGTTTATCAAGTCGTCGGGTCCTAATCGGGCGAGTATCCTCTGCAACGATAGTCGATCGGGTTTTAGAAGAAAGAACTCGGTCCAGAAGCCGTCAGGTCTATCGGCATCGGTATCTGGGTCAACGTCGTCCTACTCGAGCAAAAGTTGACGGTCAGCGACCCAACGCAATCAATGCGATATTAACGCGGGGGCCAGCATACCTTTTGATGCCATTTGTCAGCTATTTGGCCAGTCCTAAGATGATAGGGGAAACCGGTTGCTCCCGAACCTTGAATAGCGCCTCGTATAGTTGGACGACCTTAGGCTGAAAGGATTCAGGTCGAGCCTGTTGGGTCAAGGGAGAGGCAGACGGATCCATGACCGATAACGGTGAGGTTGAGGTTGAGGTTGAGGTTGAGATTGAGGGTGAGGGTGAGGGTGATGGTGAGAATGGAGATGATGCAGCCTATATGATTATTACATAGGTAGCTTAATATAGGCAAAGGAGCATCTTCTTAGCGACAAAAGAGAGAGAAAATGATACGGTCGTTATATCGATTCTTGACGCTCATGGGATGCGTACATTTGTAAAGTATGGATGTATGTATAAGATGTATGTACAAGATGTATGTTTGTATGTAGTAGTATGATAAGATAATCGGATACGCGAGTCGCATCACGACGATGGAACTTGGAAGTTCCAGTTTAATTTGGAAGCCACATGGGTACTCGTGCCGTCTACAATCACTTTCGACCTGGCACCCTAAGGGGTGCCGCGCTATGATTAACAAAATGGGCAAGAGATGCAAATATATCCGAAGATTATCCTATACCTTATAAATGAATAAAATCTGGATTATTAATGCACCTTTTAATCGTATTATAAGGCTTATATTTATTAATTACCTCTTAAATACATAATATATGTATTTAAAGATATTTTGCATTAAAAGTAGAATACCTATGTCTTATATGTAAAGCTCACTCTATCGGAAGTACCTCGGGTAGATTTGCATCTCTTGCCCATTTTGCTAGTCATAGCGCGGCACCCCTTAGGGTGCCAGGGCGAAAGTGATTGTAGCCGGCACGAGTACTTGGGTATCTAGGTACTTGGCATTAAAATGTACATATGTACGTAATGTGCATA